GTTGACAGGGTAAGTAAACTGAGGGACAGAATGTTTGTCACTGCATTTCTTCTCTTTCTCTCCCCACAGTGGTTCAGTCTGGTTACATCTGCCTAATTGGTATGTGCCCATTAGTGCTCCTGTTTTGATCACACCGATTGCTGCCTGGTACAAGTATTTCCAACATATTGCTTACAAACTGCTTTGGTTAAAACAAAACAAAACAAGACCTATATTGAGGCATAGTTACATGCATACAAATACATGCATTTTGAGGGCACAATCTAAAGAGTGTTGACAATTTCACCCACCTGAGCAGCCACCACATTCAACAGACCTAATATTACCATTACCCCCCAAAAGTTCCATTTCTAGTTTAATTGTCCTCTATCAGCCTTCTCTGCTTCTTGGTCCTTGGCAATCACAGACCTGGTTTCCAGTGCTACAGATGAGATTTATTTTCCTTGAGTTTCATGTAAATGAAATTATGTAGAAAGAACTTTTTAATCTGGCTTCTTTAAATCAGGGTTAATTTTTGAGGATTCGTATGTGTTGGTGCACTTACTACTGATCTGTTTCTTTTCAGTATTAAATAATATTCCATTTTGTGACTGTACCATAACATTATTATCTTGTCTCATTGTATGATCATTTGAGTTATTTTCAGTTTGGACTATTGTGTATAGAGCTGATGTGAATATTCTTATATAGTTCTCTATACAAAATTTTCACTTTCTTTTGGTCAATATCCAAGAGTGAAATGACTGATTCAAATGGAAAGTAGATGTTTAACTGTTGATACAAAAACCAACTGGACTTTATTGCTCTTAATCTGTAGATATATTTGGGGAGAACTGCTCTAGTAACAATATTGAGTCTTCAATCTATGAGCATAGTTTTTTTTCCAGAGGCTAATAATGTGATGTGGGAGATGTTAGTCCCAGAGGAGTGGCTCTGCCACTTTTTGGTGCTGGAACTTTCTAGTCCTTTGCTTTCACACTATCATTGATATACATATGTGGTTTTATCTTACTATTTGTCTTTTATTTTATTTGCCTATTCTATATTTCATTGTCTCCCTGTTTGTTTCTTTTGCATTAATCAGAAAATTTTAAATTATTCTTTTGCTGTCTGCAGTCACCTTTACAGAAATACTAGCAGCTTTGTAATTTCTACTCTATTTTAGAAATTTCAGCATGTATCTTTGACTTTGTATTGTTTAACATAAATCTGCACTTCCAATAACTCCTAGGAATGAAAGACCTTACAAAACTATAACCAATCTATGTTTAACTCCCTCACACTATTTTTTTTGTTATTTTAATACTGAAATGATATAATTGTTATTAGTACTACATAACATGTAATTATATTATTCGTCTAACCTTTATTCTTTTAGATCTGTACACTTAGTTTTTTCCCCTGTCTTTCTATAGCATTGTTTGGAGCATTTTTCTTGTTTGGGGAACTATTTTTAATATTCTGAACGTCTAAATCTGCTGGTGGCAAATTCTCAAAATTATATTTGCCCCTCTTATTTTACTTTCATTTTTTTAACTAGTAGATGGACGGAATGCCTTTATTTTATTTGCTTACTTTTATGTTGTGCTGAGGATTGAACCCAGTGCCTTATGCATGGTAGGTAAGCGCTCTGCCACTGCTTTCATTTTTTAGGATATTTTTTTTTGCTGAGTATAAGTCTGTTTTCTAGGTGTTTTGCTTGTTTCTTTTTTATTTGTTCTTTGTGTTTTGGTAGGAGAGAGCATCAGCACTTTGAAATGTTATATATATTCTTCTTACTTCCCTAATTACTCTTTGCTCCCCTTTTACTTTCTCTTGGGTTCTAGTATCTCAAGTCCTTACTGTCTTCGTAGGTTTGTGATGCTTTAAACAGATTGAAATTAAAATTATTCAGCTTTTCCAGTTGTTATTAAAAGGCATTTATAAGCCAATCTATTATTTTTGGAAACAAATTATGTGTGTGTGTGTGTGTTTGTATGTGTGTGTGTACAAATATATACTACACATATGCATGTGTGTATTCACCCTATAGAATATTTTTATTTCATGATATTATATTTTATTTCATTTTTATTTAGTTTTCTAAATAAACTCTTGTGGCTGATATGTAGAAATACCAATTCTCTATTTTTACAGAGCTTTCATGTCAGTGCACATCCAGAACAAAGATGATTAGAAGTGGCCATTCTAGACAACTATGTCTTATTTCCACTGTTTTTCTTTTTCTTTCTTTTTTTTTTGTATTTTGTGATATTTGATTAAATATGTGACGTTGTGGTGCATGATATTTCTTTTTAGTTCCTTTTATTGGATTGAAGAAGTTCTCTTCTGAAAAACAGTTCACAAAGTGTTTTTCTTATCAATGGAAGGAAATTGGGTTACTGTCAAGTCATCTTTTCCTGATTCACTGAGGTAGTTGTCTGATTTCTTTTACTTATATCTTTAAATGTGATAAATTGCATTAATATATTTTCTAAAGCTAAACAATGCTGCCCCTGCTGGCTGAAATCCAATTGGGTAGTAATGTAGATTACAGTTTAAACACAATTCTGTTGCATTGTCGGTAAGATTGCAAATTAATACAGTCATTTTGAAAGCAGTTGTGTTGGATTTTTTTTTTTTTTTTTGATAAGTTCTGTCTGCTTAGGCCTTAGTTGAAGCAATCTGATTTGAGCATGTTACAGAGGATTTGTCAGTCAGATCCATAAAGAATCACTTGAAAATTCTATTTCTGTTGATTGTGTATCTGCATGTAGCTGCAGGGAATTGGTAGACTTCAGTATACATAAGTATGAAGTGGCGAAGAAGAATGCAGTGGATATGCACAGGGAGACACTGCTCAGCAGTGGAAGCACCTCAGTGGGTTTACTTACAACATGGAGTGCTGTAGTATATAAGGGAAGAAGGCAATAAGCATGAGAAATCTTTATTACAACATTCTCCATGTGAATTGAAATATACATATAAAGTATACTATAGGTAAACACACATATTGAAAAACACAAATAGGAATATTGCTTTTCAGACTTTAGGGGATCCTGTTGCCCACCTGGGCCGGTTTGCCCCTGCACCAATCCAAACTCAATAATCTGTCCCCACTTTAGAATCCATCTCTCTAGAAAGTTTTCCAGAACAATTCTAGATCACTCTGATGCCTCCCATATTGTGAAATCCTGTGGCACATTTGTACATTTTCTACCCAGACAATGTCACACATGATACAAGGCAAAGAAATAGTATCAGCTGTAAAGAGGTATTTTTGACACATTTTCACTCTTTCCAAGTAGATGTTAGCTGAGTGAGAACTCTCTATGCTTGCTCCCCATGGAGCTCTGGGTATTTCTGCTGGTTGGTTCTTCATAAAACACTTTATCTTCAAGCCACGTCATATTCAAAAGCAGCCTGTTCTTGTTAGGAACACAGGCTGTCACTTCATCTTTTGTTTTCGATGCTTTTCTTCTATTTTTTTTTTCCTTTCTTGAAGACCACCGCACCTGGCCTGTTCATAATTTTGATCCCACCTCTACTTATTTTGTCACCTCCATCACCACAACACAGAACCCTATCACATTACACTGCCAAAAGCTTTGTTTTGTCATACTGTTTTACTATGAATTTTGGGATTATTCCATAATAATTTTATAGAATTATGTCTTTCTTTGTTTTTGTTTGTATTATCTTTCCTTTAAAGCAATGTAAAGTCTTTGATGGCAGTTATTTCATGTGACTTCTTGACCACTGTATGCTCAAAGCTAGATGGTATCTGGAACTTGATAGAGTTTCCATAAATATTTCTGATGATCTGAGTGTACACTGGGCATTGAACTGCAAACTGTGGTTCATTGAAAAATGAATATAAAATGTATTATCCCCTTCCCAAAGGAAACTGGACAAACAGGCTTAAGATGTCTTATTATATCTGCTTTTTCCCCAGATAGAGTAAGAGTAGGTTGGAGCCCTGTTGTATAAAATTAAGGAAGAGTATTGTCAAATTATTTTGTGATAATTAAATTGTCCTATTCAACTGACATTCTTATATCATTCACTCCTTTTTGGTCACTTTATGGGAAGGCCTATTAAAGTGCAAATGAGAGTGATTACCATGATAACTTTCCTGTGTACATTAGAGGAACCAAAATTGTTCATTATATATTGAATGGCTTTCAAACATTTTTAGTGGAGCATTTTTCCTAAGCAGAATCTCACCTAGAAGTGCAATACACACATAGGTCAGAGTGACTGGTACTAGGGCTGAATTGTAGTAGGTGGAACCTGTACCCAGCCCACCAGGCACCTCTCCTGTCTCCTGTCCCAGAATCAAATGGAGCAAGGTCTTAATATCATAAAGTTTAGACTAATCTCTCCATTTGAGAAACTGTTGCTCAGAGAACTGAAGTGACTTATTTGGTCTTACAATTACTGTACATAATAGAGCTAAGACCTAGGTCCTCCAATTCTAGCACACTGTGCTTTCGTATGTGATATCCTAATATCCATGGATGCTAAATGCTGATTAGAGCTTCTCAGTGGGAGTTCTATAAGGAGAGAAAGTTAGATATTTCTGAGATCCAGAGACCTTCTGCTTCTCCTCCGGAGCTGTGGGAGAATCACCTCATAAGACTTCTCATTTGGAAATCAGCTTACATCTGTTTATAGTGGTAGACATAATAAAATGAGACTTCTTTCTCCAAGTGTTTATTTTACAATCACTTATAGATTACATGTACCAGAGAGAAGAGCTTTTACTCATAGGTGTCTTAACTTCCCATTGGTGAAGAGCAGCATGACTCTGACTGGTGCCGATATGACCTTTTCATTTGTAAATGAAATTCCACAGTAGAAATAGTTTACTTGGCTGAACTGGTGGATCCATACCAGCCAGAGTGCAGATTATCTTCTCAGCTACCTTGGAGTTCTGAGACAAAAATGACACTCAATATGCTAGCAGGCACTCAATAGATCATTTCCCTAAATGAATGAATTTCAGAGATACGTGCTATCTAGCAAATATAATTTAAGAATATATTAATTTGATTTCCAACTACATATTGAGGTGGGTGGACATTATTTGTGCCATATGCAATTGTGATATCCCAGGCATCAATGATGCTCACATTGAGATCTTGAAAAATGTCCATCATGACAAGGTTTTGAATGTAGCCATGAAAATCACTTAATCTTTCCGCATCATTGTGCATCTCCCTGATGTTTTCTCTCTTGATAATGACTGTGGTGTCTGGGCTTCTCAGAAGTAGGCGCTGAACAGCTTTGTGCACATTGAGGGCCCTTCGGATGAAAACATCAATGGGAAAGGGTCTGAAATGCTGGCCCAGACAAATAACAATGACAGTGTTTTTTCCTCCTTCAGTTCTGTCAATGACTCGGGCCATGTACTCAATATCTTTGACTGAATAAGTAGATGATCCAACTAAGGGATAAGCATGTTTTTGCCACTGGATGTTGATATTCCTATCCAAGTCCACAACTAGTTCGCTTTGCATTTTTCCATGCTCGTGCAGATTCACTGTCTTGAGTGCTGGAGACAAACAAGCAATCCCATAATGAGAGGAGAATAAAGTTATAAGATTGACAAGTCATGGTGAATGGATAAAAATAAAGAACTTAATGCTAAGTGAAATAAGCTAGACTCAGACAGTCAAGGATCAAATGTTTTCCTTCATCTGTGAAAGCTAGAAAAAAATAAGTGGGAAAGGAGGGAAGAGGAAATCTCATGAAAATAGCAAAGGGGTCAGTGGAGTAGAGGTAAGTGATTGAGTGGAAAGGTGGACAGACCGGAAAAGGGAAGAATGTTGGAATGAATCTTACCACACATTCCTATGAACATATACCACAGTGAATTTCACCTTTATAGATCCAAAACACACTAATTTATAAAACTAAATAAATAGAAGAAAGATCAGTAGAATAGAGGAAAGGGAACAGGGGTAAGGAAGAGAAGGAAAGAAGAAGTACTGGCAACTGAACTGGAGCGAATTATATTCCCTGCTTGTATAATTATGTTAAAACAAACCCAATGTTATGTATAACTATAATGCACTAAAAATGATTGACTGACAAAGTCATAAATACAAGAGAAAATATTTGGTGATTATATGTAAATACACTAATCATGTTTGATTTATTATAGGCTTGACTAAAGGGACACTTTTGAAATTTAGTTGAATAATTAAAAATATTATAGATTATGTATGACCTCTTGCAGAACCATGCCACTGGATGAATGATAAGGCACTGAAAAAACTGTACTGGAGGACGATGTGGTTAGTTTTGTAAGTATTATTTTTGTAAAACGTGTTGGTTCTAGATTAAAATTATTTGAAGATACAGAAATATACTAACTAATGTTATTTGTATTAAGAAACAAAAATAAATCTATTTCTTCAAATACTCGCAAACTCCCTGAAGACTAAGGTTATATTCTAAACTTCTGTGTTTCCTTCCATATGCATGGAATTGTACTGAGTACATCATCTATAATAATAATACTTCTACTATTTGTGAAATCATTTACAGTTTACATTTATTTAAACTGAGGCAATCACTCATGTCAACATCCCTCATTTATGTGTCTAATTGTCATATCATAGGAAGAAAAACTCAAGAGTGAAAATCCCCTGCTGAAGATTACACAGTGTGTAAAGAGTCAGCCTTTAACTTGAAGTTCCATCTACGTCTTATGAAACTATCCTACCTGATCTTGACACATCTGGAAAAAAACACAGCACAAGTAGAATAAGATGAAGTCCTACCATTTTTCAGCATCTCAATTACATTCTTATCTAAATATTAAGGCCAGTTGATTTATAGCAAAAATGTCAGTGGAAAATGTGTATTAAATGATTACTAATGCTTTATCACATGTGCTACCTTAGAAGTAAAGAGATATGTTTGAAGACTTAACCTAGTGACTAGAAAATAGACATGCTGGATGATTGGTTGGTGGAAAATGGCAGAATGATTTTCTTCACTCTGCTTCCAACTTACTTCAGTTTTCTCTTCCAAAGCAGACTCTGGCCACAAAGTTCAACTTTAAGCAAAACATATAGGAGATGTTTTCCAACTGCAACATCCAAGATAAGCTAAAGAGGTTAAGTTACTCAGTACTGCAGTACTCTGTAGAACTAAGAGACCCTCCATTGTAGAATGTGATGCTGAAGGTCGTCACTAGACCCTTGCTTTTGTAGCTGAACAAACTGAGGTCCCAAGGAGTTTTTTCATTTCTTAGATGTCAGGATTGAAAACTCCCCACTTTTATTGGGAATTCTTAAAACTTGAAGTCTAGGTCCTACTGATTTCCCCTTTTATTAAGAGAATCATCTTTCTCGCTAAGTTGGAGATCCTGAGTGGCTTCATGTCTGGAAGATCAGGATGGAGCCACCATGACTGAATAATCCTAGGTAATAGGAACTGGACCCAGGGACATGGATAGGCAGGTAGTGACAGTGTTCTAGGTAAGATTGCTGAGATATGTTAGTGGATTTTGAGGTACTCTTGGTGTACTCTTAGTTTTGTAAATATAGCAACTGGACTAGGATTCTTCCAGCTGTATCTGAACCCAACTCTAACATTAACTACAGATAATGGCAATTTCTGTTGTTTTGGGGGGCCCTTTCTATGAGCAGATGTGCCTTGCCATGTGTTGAATTTTTTATATCCTTTACCTGATTTCATCTTCAGCATAAGCACCATGTTTATTGGATGTATGAGGAAAATGTGGCAGAGAAAATAAATAACAGGCCAAAGATCATTTTTTCTAATGGACTCAGTCTAGTTCTGTTAAACTCTAAATCCCATGCTTTTAAACACTGTGCCAATGTGATATAAGTTTTACCTTCCTCTTGTATCTGTCATACTATCAGTGATGATAATTTACATAAAACCTCACTTCCTCAAAGATAATGATCAAAATTCACCATCTGTATTACCTCATTTTATCTGGTGGGTATTTTTTTTTTCATTTGTAGGTGACAGATGAGTAAATCAAGGGACAGACTATTTATGTAATTGGTCCAAGTCACTGATATAGGATCTGAAGTCAGGTTCTGAACCCAGGACATCTGGATCTAGAATCCACACCCATAATCTTCACACTAACTATAGAAAGTGGACATTTTAATTTCTGAAATCATTTTAGCTCCCTTGATAATTTCTATGCTTTCTGGCTAAATACTGTAGTGTGAATTTCTCATGGGCAGGGAGGTGATAAACATTTTTCTACACTTGCTCCCTTCATTTCAGATCAATGTATTCTTGTAAAGGAAAGATATCTATGTCCTATGAAAAATTTTGGTGTATTGTGATGAAGAAATATGATAAAGATGAGCCATTTCCTACATTTCTTATTCTCCTTGAAAGGTAAGGAAAAATTTTGAAGGGAATATGAATAAAGCTTAGACTGAATCATACTGTTGATGTTGGATTTGAAGTATTCAATCCATTGGCGGATGGTGGAATCTCCCAATAGGTAAATGGATTTTCCTCTCAGGCACTCATTCATTTTGATTGGAGCCAAACTGCAGGGCCCAGGATGCCATATTTTTTTCCAGACATGCCCACTGGGGATTGTGGATGTCATGCGAGGCTTGCATTTCTCTTTTAGTGGAACTGGGTCTTCTGCAAAAATCAGCAAGAAGGGACCTTCTAAAACATCATATTATCCATCAGTATTGCTAAAGAACTTTCTGTCATTTCTAAGTGTCCTCTTAATAGGGTGGTCACAGTAGAAAAGACTTACAGAAATATCCTCATATGGAATAGCTGTTTTTCAGGAAAAAAAAAGATCTAATATGAGTTTCCAAATGTGTATCATTAATGTTCATTATAATAGCACATGTTTTCTCCCAGAAGTCAAAATGACTCTCTGTTAAACTTTAAGTATTTGTCAGTCTTTCTATAAAAGCAATGTCATTCATTTTTGTAGAGTAATGAAAAATCATGCATAGTATCATTTAAGTCACCTTTTCCTTAAGTTATTTATACTCTGTCACAATGGGTTAAAAGCAACCAAAAAATCTATGAATTCATTGAGTTAAATTCAAGATCTTAGAAAAAATAATAATAAGTTTGGAAACATCCATTCTGTTTGAGCGGTCTGAAGGCTAGAGAGAATCCTGAAGGTCCATGAAGGGCCTGGTATTCACCTCCTAGTTGGTTAATGAAGGGTCTGAGGTGGCTATATTAGTGAGGTGACAGGTCTGGGGCACTGATTGTTCATTTTTTTGGAGGACTTTAGTATTTTAATGACTGGTATAGGCTTATTCATATATGCAGGGTAAAAAATACCATTTCTACAACAAGGTACATAATTATATTTCAGTGTGGGCAAGTATATTAACAATTAACAAACCTTTAATGCTAAACTGCCAGAGACATAAATGATGTTGCCTTAAATCATTTTAGATAGGGTTTCCTAGGCTGTTTTGAGTTAAATAAATTAAAGGAAATAAATGTGGAAATTCTACTTTGTATATCAAAGTTGTTTGAAATGTGAGAGACCAAGAGGAGATAAGGATAGTAACCAGACTCCTAGGTAGCAGATTGGAAACCTCTAGATGGTGATTATTGGACTAGAAGTGATGCAGGAAGTGGTGATGATGATGGTGTGGAGAAGGATGGTGTTGGAAAGGGGGCCTGGTAAAGAGTTAGAAGAGAGTTTCACAGTTTGTAGGTTATTGTGTAAGATGGACAGGTGATCTGTTATCTGATGAGTACATCAATGATGAGAGATATAGTTACTAAAAGAGGCATTTGATATCCTAGGGATTCCAATAATTCATTCTCTTAGTACATGATATCTTGGCTCATATTAGACAAGATAAATAAGCATTGAGCTGATGAAACTAAAACTGAACAAGTCCAACAGAAAGAGGAAAGCCTTTAAGTATGTCTAGTACTAAGCACCCTCCACAAACACAGGAGCACTTACTGTTGCATTTGGAGACACTAATCACATTGAAGTTTTTCATAATCTCCACACCCACATTTGACCTTCAAAAGACAAGTATAGAAATGAACCTGCTGGTGGCCTCAAATCAGGAAAGGCTCAATAATTAAGATCATCTAGTTATTTTTTAGTGAATACCAATTATGGTTTCCTCAACTCAGGGCAGTAAGGAAATTTCCATTTAAAGAAATGGAAATTCCATGAGATCCAGATACCCAGAAGGAGAGCAAAGACTTAGCAAGATGCAGAAAAAATATATTAGAGCACCCACACAGATTTCTCATTCTCTTATGGTTTCCATTTTGCCTGAATTTCTCATTTCATTGACAAAGATTAAAAAAGCTTGTGAACTTGTGAAGAATGAGCCCTGTCCCCCAAATTAATTCACAGATCCTCTCCTAAATGGATCTTCATAAATGGTGCCTATGTTGATTTGCTTGTAGGACTTTCCTTTGGACCAACATATAGGAAAAATAAAGTAAATCATTGCCCTGGTATCTCCACCAATAATTTTTTTTACCTTACAAATATGGTCCTTTCTTGTTTGCTAAGATAGGAAACTTCCTTGTTCTTGGAATGCATTTGGATGATTGCAGCACAGGGAACATGCTGAGGCCTCATGCAGTAGAAGGCTTCTTGGTCTTGAGCATCCAGGTATTGGCATAGTTCAGTGCTTGAGTTTAAAATCAGGGCACAATCAGTATTGACCTGTGTGGACCCATTGATGAACTGGCCTGTGAAGATCACCCTGTCATAGCCTTGGTTCCTTGCCCTCCAGAGAGCTGACACCCCTTCACTGGGTGGATGAGCAGGAGAGACAGGGAGACCTGGCCCTCCCAGAACAGAGTGAAGCTGACAAGGTAGGTGCCATTGTTGAAGTCCATCACCTTTCCTGAGGCTCCTGCTTTCAGGGTTGGGGAGGACATCCTGGCCCTGAGGAAGTCCCCTCCATATTCCTTCCTGTGTCCCAGGTGGTCCCTGGCCTCCAGCAGAATATCCAGCGGGTCCCCCCTGCAGTATGTGTCTCTAGGGTTGAGGATGGTGACTGTGCTATGTGTGGCACTGGTGATGCTGTTCACATGGGTGAAGGGTCTGGGCGGTATCATTTGGTCTAGTTTCTCCCGGATCTCACTTATTCTCAGCTCAGTCTCTGTTGGTGAAGCTGCTGGATTCAGAGATGCTCCAGGGCTTGAGGACTCTGTGACCATGTTCCAGTGATGGAGGGAGATAGGCAACTTGAGAGCAGTCTGTAACTGAAATGACAAGAAAGGGAATAGAGAACACCAAAAATGTTCCCTTTTAACATCACTTTTATCTTTTATGGAATAATGAGAGGTACTAAAATTAAATGACACATGTGTGTCATAGTCAATACACTTTTGGTACTGTTAGCATTACTGTAGTTTCTGTTGGCTCATCAGTTTTGGAAGAACCATTTAAGCCCAATGAGCCTTAGGATCTTCTTTCTTAAATGGTGGTTGTAAAATCTACCTTGTTGGTCAACCTGAAAGACCAAATGAAAAAATGTTTTTAACTGTAATGAATGAATGCTTTTGTTTAATTATTTTTATATAAAAACTAAAATTTAGTAAAAAATATGTAATCCCAGACAAACAAATCTAATATGTTCATCACTATCATATCTCTCTTACAAGAAATGATAGTGGTAGTGGTTCAAGCCGAATGAAAAAAATGCCATTAGTAACATAAAATATGGAAAAGCATAAGGCTAATTTGTAAAAGTATGTACAAAGTCAGAATTCTCTAATGGTGTAATGATGATGAGAAATCACTTATATCTTCATTATGAAGGTTAAACAGCAAAAGAATTAAAATAATAATGGCTAAACTAGTTTGTTGAAGGAAACAGAATACAAAAGAATATATTGTGACATCTGACATTTAAAATGTGGGTGGTATGCAAGTAGATTTTATTCATGTGATGAAGATTAAGCTGTTACCAGCTTAAATATGGTGCTATCACTATTATAGTTTTTTGTATGTCTTATGGTAACCACAAAGAATACATTTGTAGCAAGTACATAAAAGATAAAAAGTAAGAATTCAAAGCATACCACTAGAAAAAAATCACTAGTCACAAAGGAAGAAAGCGAGCATAGAGGAAAGAATAAACACTCCACAAAACAATAGGAAGACAGCAAAATGGAAGTGGTCTTTATGTATCAATAATTACCTATCATAATATAATAAATTCTCCTAAGGAGATAGCATCATTGAACAGATGAAAAAAAAAATAAAAATGATATAACTCTATGCTGCTGGCAAGAGACTTCACCTGTAAGAACACACACAATTAAAAGTGAAAGAATGGTAAAATACATTCCTTGCAAGTGAACAGGAAGATAACAGTAGTAGCTATAGTTACATCAGATGAAACAAACTTTAAGTTAAAAATTTTAAAACAAACAAAAACGTCATTATATAATGATAAAGGAGTCAAATAAGATGATATGTCTGTATGTGTTTGTGTGTGTATATGTGTGTGTGTGTGTGTGTGTGTGTATATATATATATATATATATATATATATATATATATATATATAATCTCCATCCAACATTGAAGCAAATCAATATATAAAACAGATATTGATAGATCTGAGAGAGATAAACTATAATATAATCATAGTAGGGGACACTTTAATACCCATTTTCAGCTATGAATAGATCATCTTGACAGAAAATCTGTAAGGAGACATCATAATTATATTTTAGCTGGGCTGGGGATGTAGCTCACGGTTGAAGTGCTGGCACTTGCCTAGCATGTGTGAGGCCCGGGGTCCCATATTCAGCACTACAAACCCAAAACCCAAACACTGCCCTTCAGACAAAATGGAATTAATAAACATATATGAAATATCCACCCAATTGCAGCAGAATACACACTCCTCTTAGGTGCACTCAGAATATTCTACCTGCTAGATCATGTTAGGCCACATAAAAAAATCTTAAGATTAAAATTATGTCAAGTATCTTTTCAACCACAAAGTTATAAAACTAGAAATCAATAACAGAAAGAATTCAGGAAATTCACAAATATAGAAAAATTAAATATATGTTCATGAGCAACCAATGGGTCAAAGAAGAAATAAAAAAAGAGTAAGGGATGGACTTGGCTCAGTGGTAGAGCATCTGCTTAGCATGTACAAGGTCCAAGATTCAATCCCTAGCACCACAGGGGGAAAAATAAATTAAAAAATATTTTGAGACAAATCACAATGTACCCATACCATAGTATATCAAAACTTAGGGATGCAGAAAAAAAACAATTCTAATCAGGAATTTTATAGCAATAAACACATCAAATAACAAACCTAATGTTGTACTTCAAGGAACTAGAAAAAGAAGAACAGATTTAGTCAAAGTTATAAGAAGAAGGACACAATAAAGATCAGAGCAGAAAAATAAAATAGAGAATATAGAGCCAATAGAAATGATCACTAAAAATATGTGATTTTTTTAAAAAAATATAAACTATTAGGTAGACTAGAAAAAATAAGGGTGAAGGTCCAAATTAAAAAATTCAGAAATGAGAAAGTATACATTACAGCTGATAGCACAGAAATTCAAAGATCATAAAAGACCACCATGAACAACTACATGCCAGCAAACTGGATAGCCTAGAAGAGATGGATAAGTCCCTATACACATAATATTTACCAAGACTGAATCATGAAGAAATAAAAGATACAAATGGACTAAAAATGACTAAGAAGATTGAATCACTATTAAAATGTCTCACATCAAAGAAAAGCCTAGGATGTGAAGACTTCACTGCTAAATTCTAGCAAACATCTAAAGAAGAACTAATATCAATCTGTCTCAAGGTATTCCAAAAAATTGAAGAGGAGAGAATAGTTTTAAATTATTTTCATGAGGCCATCCTTACACTGAAATCAAAGACATATAAAGACACCAGAATAAAGAAAATTACACACAGTAGTCCCCAGTCTATCCTACCAGCTGCAGACACCTGCTAGAGCTCAGGCTCCAGCACAGGACTGCCTCTTCCAACCAGCAGACCACCAGGGGAGCTCAGGTACGGCCCAGATGCTCTGTGCACACCTACATACATGGGACCCAGGCCCGGTGTAGGTCTGAGTTCATTCCCCCACACCTAGGAGCCCAAGCCTAACCCACTTCCATCTTGGGACACTGCAGACATCACCATAGCCTTCCCCATGCAGTAGCCCCTGCCTTTTGACAACAGATAGGACCTAGAAGCAGCTGCATCTCAGAGAAGGCATCCCAAAGCCCACCCTTTCAGTCCCATCTCTGTAAGACATTGCATCCATTTTGGGACATTTCCACTATTATCTCGAGTTACCTTGGCTATTGCCACCACCACCTTTAGTTGTAGTAGCATACATTGAGGGCCACGAGCAGGGTCTAAAAGCCCAACATCAAGGTGAGCTACAGACAATCTGCATGGGTACTACAAGAATATAGGGAAGAACGTGTAATATCTCAGATCCACACTGCAAGAAAGGAAGACACACAGACAACATGAAAAAACAAGGGAGGAAAGCACCCCAAACAAACCAAGATACTACTATGGACAATGAAGTTGATGAAATGTCAGAGAAGGAATTCAGAAGGTTTATAATTAAAATGATCTGTGAATTAAAAAATGACCCAAATGAGCAAATACAGCCCCAAACTGATCACTCCAACAAAGAGATAAGAGAGCAAATACAGGTAGCAAAAGATTACTTCAAGAAAGAGATAGAGACCCTGAAAAAAAAGTCAGAAATCCTTGAAATTAGGAAACAATAAACCAAATAAAAAAACTAAATAGAAAGCACAACCAACAGACTAGGTCACTAGGAAGAAAGAACATCAGATAATGAAGACAAGTATACTATCTAGAAAATAAAGTTGATTACACAGTGAAGACAGTAAGAAACCATGAACAGAACATCCAAGAATTATGGGACAGCATCAAAAGACCATATCTAAGAGTTATTGGGATAGAAGAAAGCACAGAGTTTCAAACCAAAGAAATGCACCATCTTTTCAATGAGATAATAGAAAATTTCCCAAGCATGAAGAATGAATTGGAAAACCAAATACAAGAGGCTTACAGGACACAAAATACAACAGATCAACACCAAGTCACATTATAATGAAAATTCCTAGCATACAGAATAAGGACAGAATCTTAAAAAGTTTCAAGAGAGAGGAATCAGATCACATATAGAAGAAAACCAATTCGTATCTAAGCAGATTGTTCAATCCAGACCCTCAAAGCCAAGAGATCAGGGAACAACATATACCAATCTCTGAAAGAAAATGGATGCCAACCAAGAATCTTATATCCAGCAAAACTAGCTTTAGATTTCTTGGTGGACACAACATCTTTGTTTGTATGTGGTGCTGAGGATCAAACCTGGGCCGCACGCATGCCAGGTGAGCACGCTACCTCTTGAGCCACATCCCCAGCCCCTAAGCTTTAGATTTGATGATGAAATAAAAACCTTCCATGATAAACAAAAGTTAAAAAATTTACAACTAGAAAGCCTGCATTACAGAACATCCTTGGCAAAATATTCCACAAAGAGGAAATGAAAAACGATGATGAAAATCAGCACAGGGAGGAATTACACTAAAGGAGAAAATAATCAGAGGGGAAACCAAGTTAAATACCAAAAATAAACAAAAATGGATGGGAATACAAATCATGTCTCAATAATAACCTTGAATGTTAATGGCCTAAACTCACCAATCAAAAGACATAAGCTAGCAGATGGAATCACTCCCCCCCCCAAAAAAAGACCCAATAATATGCTGCCTCCAAACAATGGAGTATCTATGTTCATTGAACAAACTCTTCTTAAGTTCAAGACCCAAATGTACCAAAACCACAACAATTTTGGGTGACTTTAACACACACCTCTTTCACCACTGGATATATCTTTCTAACAAAATCTGAAGAAACTGACATATATAGAATATTTCATCCTTCAATGAGAGAGTACACTTTCTTCTCAGCAGCACATGGATCCTTCTCTAAAATGGACCATATATTATGCCACAAAGTAACTCTTAGCAAATATAAAAAAGTAGAGATACTATCCTGTATTCTAAAAGATCATAGTGGAAAGAGATTAGAAATCAATGATAAATTAAGAAGTAAAAGCTACTCCAACACCTGGGGACTAAATAATATGCTATTGAATGAACAATGGTTTACAGAAGACATCAAGGAGGAGATCGAAAAAATTTTTTAGAGGTGAATGAAAACACAGATACAGCATATTGAAATCCCTGAGACACTATGAGAGCAGTTCTAAGAGGAAAGTTTATTGCATGGAGTTCATTCTTTAAAAGAAGAAAAAGTCAACAAATAAGTGACATAACATTACATCTCAAAGTCCTAGAGAAAGATGAACAAATCAACACCAAAAGCAGTAGAAGACAGGAAATAATTAAAATCAGAGCTGAACTCAATGAAATTGGAACAAAAGAAACAACTGAAAAAATTGACAGAACAAAAAGTTGGTTTTTGAGAAAATAAATAAAATTGACAGACCCTTAGCCATGCTAATGAAGAGAAGGAGAGGGAAAACTCAAATCACTAACATACGTGATGAAAATTGAAATATCACAACAAACAGTACAGAAATACAGAAGATAATTAGAAATTATTTTGAAAATTGTACTCCAATAAAATAGAAACTATCAAAGGCATCCACAAATTTCTAGAGTCATATAATTTGCCCAAATTGAATCAGGCATATATACACAATTTAAACAGACCAATTTCAAGCAATGAAATAGAAGATGCCATCAGAAGCCTACCAACCAAAAAAAGGCCAGGACTGGATGGATATACAGCTGAGTTCTACAAGACCTTTAAAGAAGAACTAATACCAATACTCTTCAATTTATTTCAGGAAATAGAAAAAGAGGGAGCACTTCCAAACCCATTCTATGAGGCCAATATCACCCTGATTCCAAAACCAGGCAAAGACAGATCAAAAAAAGAAAACTTCAGACTAATATCTCTAATGAACATAGATGCAAGAATTCTCAATAAAATTCTGGTAAATTGAATACAAAAGCATATCAAAAAGACAGTGCACCACGATCAAGTGGCTTTCATCTCAGGGATGCAAGATTGGTTCAACACATGGAAATCAATAAATGTGATTCATCACATCAATAGACTTAAAGATAAGAACCATATGATTATCTCAATAGATCCAGAAAAAGCATTTGACAAAATACAGCACCCCATTATTTTCAAAACACTCCAAAAAATAGGGAAAACAGGAACATATCTCAACATTGTAAAAGATATCTATGCTAAGCCCCAGGCCCACATAATTTTATTTTATTTTTAATTTATTTTTTTTTTTTTAGAGAGAGAGAGAGAGAGAGAGAGAGAGAGAGAGGGAGAGAGATTTTTTATAATATTTAATTTTTAGTTTTTGGCGGACACAACATCTTTGTTTGTATGTGGTGCTGAGGATCGAACCTGGGCCGCACGCGTGCCAGGTGAGCACGCTACCGCTTGAGCCACATCCCCAGCCCCCCACAAAATTTTAAATGGAGGGAAAATTAAAAGCATTTCCTCTAAAAACTTGAACAAGACATTGTGCCATTTTTCATCACTTCTATTTATCATAGTTTTTGAAACACTGGCCAGAGCAATTAGACAGATGAAAGAAACTAAAGGGATATGGATGGGTAGGTAAAGAAGAACTCAAATTAGCACTATTTTCTGACAATATGATTCTATACCTAGAAGACCCAAAAAATTCCACCAGAAAACTTCTAGAACTAGTAAGTGAATTCAGCAATGGAACAGGATACAAAATCAACACCCATAAATTCAAGGCATTTTTGTACATCAGTGATAACTTCTCTGAAATGTAATCGAGGAAAACTACCCCATTTACAATAGCATAAAAAAAAATACTTGGGAATCAATGAAAGAGGTGAAAGACCTCTACAATGAAAGCTACGAATTCTAAAGAAAGAAATTAAAGAAGACATTAGAAGATGGAAAGATCTACCTTGTTCTTGGATAGGCAAAATTAATATTATCAAAATGACCATACTACCAAAAGCACTATACAAATTTAATGCAATTCCAATCAAAATCCCAATGGCATTCCTTACAGAAAGAAAAAGCAGTCATGAAATTCATCTCAAAAAGCAAGAGACCCAGAATAGCTAAAGCAATTCTTAGCAAGAAGAGTGAAGCATCTCTATACCAGACCTTAAACTATACTACAGAGCATAACAAAACAGCATGGTACTTGCACCAAAATAGACCTGTAGACCAATGGTACTGAATAGAGGACACAGAGACTAACCCACATAATTACAGTTATCTTATATTTGACAAAGGCACCAAAAAATATACATTGGAGAAAAGATAGCCTCTTCAATAAATTGTGCTGGGAAAAATGGAAATCCATATGCAACAAAATGAAATTAAACCCCTATCTCTCACCATGTACAAAACTCAAAGTGGATCAAGGACCTAGGAATTAAACCAGAGACACTGTGTCTATTAGAAGAAAAAGTAGACCCAAATCTCCATTATATCGGATTATTCCCCAACTTCCTTAACAAGACTACTATAGCACAAGAATTAAAACCACAAATCAAGAAATGGGGGCTGGGGATGTGGCTCAAATGGTAGCATGCTGGCCTGGCATGCGAGGCACTAGGTTCGATCCTCAGCACCACATAAAAATAGATAAAGATATTAAAAAACAAAAAAGAAGTGGGATGGATTGGAACTAAAAAGTTTCTTCTCAGCAAAAGAAACAGTTTCTTTAAAAATAGCTTTGGGACAACTGAACATCCACATGCAGAATAATGTATTTATACCCTTACATCACACTTTATACAGAAATCAACCCAAAATGAATTAAAAAGTTAAATGTAACACCTGAAACTGAAAAACTACTAAAAGAAAACATAGGAGAAAATCTCCTATGGAGAATGATTTGTAGATATGAGTGCAAAATATGTTGGTCACAAATCTTCACTTAGGAGAAATAAGTTCAAGAATAAGTTCAAATATATTGTCTAACTTAGTGACAACAAATACATAATGCATTTGCATTCTTAAAAATTGCTGAGGCTGGAGATGTAGCTCAGGTGTAGAGTGCTTGTCTACCATGTGTGAGGCCCTGGTTTGTTCCCAGGCACCACTAATGCCTCCTCCCCCCCTCCAAAATGCCCCAACAAAACAAAACACAAGAAAAAATTGCTTAGAGAGTAGATTTGAAATATCACCACCACCAAATAATACTAATAATAATATTAATAAGTAATGATGTGATCTTAATGTTAATTAGCTTGATTTAGTTATTCCACAATGTATTCATTTTTCAAATAATGTACAATACATATAATTTGCATTTGTC